TGAGGAAAACTTGCCCCTGAGCTCATTTATAAGGCAAAACAGCAGGTTGCTAAGTCACTGGCTGTAATTTCACACAGCAGCCCTACTTTACACATGCCTTGTGAGTAAAGATAGCAATTAATTCGTAATAGAAATTGGTATATACAAAATGAGAAGTATCTCCAGTACTTGCAAAGTCATTCCATAGGTATGCCCACTGCCGGTGAGTATTGCCTTGAATTTAACTGTAGCAATAGGGCTCAGACCTAACATTAGCTATGCAGCCTCACATTCAGTGCTGCAGGACTCCTGAGTGTTGGTGAACAAGACACAGGCCTGGCTGGGCTCCCTTCGCTGCCTGTCAGTTAGCTGATGAAGAGGTAAGTGCTGCTCCAGGTGCAGACACTGCCCTGCTCCCGGGCAGCAGGGAGCCTGCGGCAGCGGGAACTGTGCCATCTCCACCGGTGACACACACAGCTGGGAGCTCGGGGGAGGCAGGAGTCGGACACAGCTCAGCAGCTCCTCGCCCTGGGCTCTGGCCGAGTCCATGAGCTCCAGCAGTGCCTCCAGCCAAGGCTCCTTTGGGGCAGCTTGGACATCTCTGCTCCCTAGTGCTCCAGGTTCCAGGAGGGATTATTCACATTGTCATTAGTCCCAACCCTCTGCCTTACCTAAGAAGCCTTCCCAGCACCTGAAAAGCATGCCAGAGTTGCCAGCCCAGGGCCTGACTACCCTACCTGGCCCTCCTGGGTGCCAGCAGGCTCCTCTCCCAGCACCTCCCCCTTGCAGTCACAGTGCCCGGGCTGCTGAATCCTCCTCCTTGGTGCTCGGAGTCCAGCACACCCCACTGCTGGCTGGGATACACTCAGGGTTTCTTAAAAACCTCTCCTGCATGGATCTACCAGCTTGCCCAGTCTTCTCCAGTAAAGGAATCTGGCCTCCCAGGGTAGTGGCCTCACTCCAGCAAAGCACAACAGTTAAAGTCTCAGCACGTGGAAATCACTGAAGCTGATTCCTGGTATTTAGTTAAATGACATTTCTATAATGCAGAAGCTGTGAAAGTCTGCACAGGCCTTGCTGTGACTAAGGGCCTCTCCTTTCAACGATGGCATCACTGAAACCTGTGAACACATTCACTGCAGACTCGATGCAGCTCGATGCTGCAGCTCAGGCAATTGGAGAGTAGAAGCTAAATGCAGCAGGACAAGAGTTAAGCAACAGCAACCACCCCCCATCTGCTGAGGCAAAATGAAAAACAGCAGCACAAAGAACTGTTCGCCCCACACACACCTTAGCCTGGGAGATGCCCCTTTCAGGCACGTCAGGGTAAAGAGGGGCTCAGGGAAGGGCTAAAATTTCAGCCCTTATGCACATGGAAAAAAAGAAAAGTTCCTGAAATAAATTTAAGATGACAACTAATAGCTAACAGGCAGCTACTGCTAATTATTTGATTAAATCATTATTTGAAATCTGCACAGAGACAACAGAAAAAATCTGCCTCTAATATAAACATTGCCGTACTGGTACAAAAACAAAATAGCAGGCAGCAGTTACGAAAGACGCTGCTTCTCCAAAATCTCCGTGAACTACTTGAATGCCACCTATATCAAAGTTTTCAAGGTCTAGAGCACTATGAAGATCTTTGCAATCAACTTTAATGTCACTTAACTTGTTTGCCATTATGAATATCTGCAATATCAATGAGTTTCAGACAAGCAAATTCCAATATTTTATGTTACCATTACAAAGTATATGTACTTGGTACATAGTTTTTTTACTTTGTATTAATTTTTCTAAAGACGACAGACAAGCTTTGGTGCAAGAATGGCCCCAATGTTGATTTACTGATATTGTTACAAATAAGCCAAAAAAATCAAATGCCTCAAAATTGTCTTGTAAATCTGAGGGTAGCTATAAGCATTTTTAGGAACACTGCCACCATCAGAAGGTTTTGTATGAGGCAAGAACTCCACAACCCAAACGAGCAGAAATATCCAGCCTTTATTACAAAGAAAAATTACTCCACGGAATGGAGGATGGCTTGCTTGCATGCATGCTGTCAGGGACATTCACCTGCTGAGGGTGAAGAAGTGCTTCTGCTAGGTTCATTAATTGCCCAAGACACCATTAGGCTTTGCACTGGCTACAGGCGCGTGAGCATTTTGATTCAACTCAACTGCTTGCTAGAATTTTGTTGCCAGCATTGAATGAGCCAAGGAGAGAACCTGGCTGCCAGGCAAGCCAAACACCACAATGGGGGGAAAACAATAAATTAGAAAAAAATAAATCACACACTAGACACAACATTATCACTGAGAGAAGTCAAAAGACTTTCTTTACACCCACATTTTAAATAATTCCACAAGCAGGGAAATGAATATGCTCGAGTCAATCTTTGCTTGGGTAGAGTGATAAATGTTGGCAGAATCCTCTCATTGCAAGCACTGGGTTATGAAGCCTCAAAGCCAGCAGAACTAGACTGAATTAGTGTTATCTGTTGTTATTGGGATTTTGAACAAAATTAATGGAGTATGAGCCAGTTGATGAATCCTGTTTTATCTGGAAATTGTCTGTTGATAGGCCAAACTGGCGGAGAACCAAATTCCCGAGATCCTTCAGTTTACCTACAATGAAAAAAGAGAAATAATGTGAGTAATAAGCAGAGAGGAAAACTCCCACTGAATTATGGCCTGTTACACAGACCCACTGCACAAAGTTAAGTGAGTGCTGTGGAAGTATCTCCCATTTGTTAAATATCCAGGCTCTCAAATGCATTAAAAAAAATTCCGATTAGAACAGAGTCATTGCCAACTTTGCAGCTGAAAACAGATGACCTCAGCAGTCCTGCAGGGCCTATGAGGCAGCCTTGATGAACACTCAGGGACTGCAGGCAGCGGGGTTGTGGCTACCTGATTTCCTCAATCATAGGCTCTTGCCATGAGTTTCTAAGTCATAACAAAGCCATGCTCCCCCTCTGAACTGCCAATACTCAATTTTCAAATACGAAGTTTTGAGGTCCTGTTCTTTTCAGTGTAGCTATAGCTCTGTGAACATGCAAGTGTAACCACCCAATTTCCTAAACTTCCAAGACAAGCTTCAAACTCTGTTTGCTTGTAATTATTAAAGCCTACTTGCATATTGATATAAAAAGAATATATGTGCATATTGATATAAAAAGAATAAATCTTCCATGCAAATGCATTTGCACCTGCAGTTACATTTGAAGCATACAGTAGTGCTACAGCCATTTTGCTTGCAAAAAACTTAGCATACATTTGAAGATAAGGCATCACGAATTCACCTTCCAAATTACAGCTCTCTAATTATAGTTAGCTTCTCACTACTAAGAGCCCTAAAGAACCATTATTTAACAAGCACTGTTAAATTTACATAGAGTATTGATAGCTAATAAGATCTAAAGACTTCTGTTAATGCATGCTCTAAAAGCTTTCCGACTCTTCACATGCATAGGCTGGATACCATATTCCTGAAAGTATTCTAACGTTACTAGATCCGCAAATCAACTAATTTTGTTTTGCAGGGAGTTCTGTGTGTGCACATGGAGAAGGAAGAGCAACAAGGAAGGCCGCCATGGAGCAAGAGCAGTTAAGTCATGAAATGGGCAGTCACTTAGCTAAGAAACGTGCAAATGCCACACCTACCCCTATCTCTGTGCGTTCCATAGACTATATCAGTTATGAAACACATTCTATGCTATTTTGGACATCTTTTCCTCTATTTCTATTTCTAATCTTTTAAAAGCATCCAAGACAAATCCTCCCTTGAAGCTCCCCGTTTCTGCCCAGCAGCGCAGCCCTCACTCCTGCCATTTACTAGGTTTCCTCGCTCTAACACACAGAGCACTCAGGATTTAATGAGGGCTTTGGTGCTGAGCCACACCGAAGCAGCAACTTCACAACAATCACATACAGGTTCAGAAACATAAGGAGCAAAGTCCTGCACAAGCCCTGTTCAAAGAGACAAGCAGTATTTACACTGCACAAACGGAGCACAAAGGGATCAAGTGATTTGCCTGGCATGACACAGCAGGCCTGTGCCCATGCTCAAAACACAAATCGTATCAGTCTTAACTTATCCAATTGATGCCAGAGATAAGGGGCAATTTGGCAATAGCTTGACTTGAGCACCACTACAATAAACCAAAACATGCCGTTGTTTCAATCACCTCTGCAAGATTTAATTGAGGCAGGGACAGCTTTTTTGAAGATAGATTCACAGAAAATATGCAAAGATGGCTGAGAGAAAAATATGATCATTTTTATCTAAAGAAGATAAAGATGCATAAAGATACCAACAGTTATCAATACTACTGCGCTCCTAAATATGCCAGTGTAATTAAGGGCTTGTGTTGAAGTGCTGGTTCACACCTGGGTATCTTTCAGAGAGCTGTATAATTACTTTAAAGCAAGACAAATCTTTGGGGATCAAAATGGAAATTTTCCAGTTTTACTCAGGAAGCAAGCAAACAAGCAAAAAAATAACTTTAACCTACAAAGCAACCAAATGGTGGAACAGCATTTTTCTTCAGTTTTATTTTTCCCTGTTCGGATTAACAGGTGAGGTGGTCAAGTGAGTTGGACAAGGCCATTCCTGTGTGTGGCTCAGCTAGGATTAGCCGTGTTGTACCAGACTATTTGTTTTAAGCTACACTACATTGAAGATAAATGAACCATTAAACCAAGCTGATAATTTTTACACTGCATCTGAAAAACATTTTGGTGACAGAACTGAGAGGTGCTCTTCACAGCATCTCTGCAACCGAGATGAATACTTGCTATGTGCTTTTAGACAGACGACTGGTCATTGCTGAGCGTCCAGTTTTGGGGTGAGATGAGTCTTTGTCTGCCTGCGGCAGAAGCCTGGCATAGTCCAGCATTCCTGGAGCCAGTTGTGAACAGTTCAGGAGTTATCCGAGCCTTGCAGCTGGCCCGGGAGCAGGCAGACGAGTTTGCCTGATTCAGGAAACAGTAAGAGGTCTCTTCTAGCCAGAATTACTACGGCGGCTCCTTTCCGGTCACACCAGAGTCAATAAACACAGAACAACTGTCCTGCAGCCGTGCTTGTAGCTAGGCCAGTTCTTTGGGGGAGCTTGAAGACTGTGTTATATTTAATACTGTATTCTTCATCTAACCCAGCTTTGATTGAATAATTAAATGCAGTCATAGATCACCTTCCTATTCAATCATTTAAATCCATGTACAGCAGTATCTTTTGGTAGAGCCACACTTATTAAATTGTTAATGAAGCAGAAGAAAGCCTTGCTTTTTCCAGGAACAAAAGCCCAAAGCGACGCTCCTGCTGCTCGGAGCACATAAACCCATCATTGTAGGAAGGCACTATTTCCTCCTCCCCCTCCCCTTTCATTCCTAAATTAAGATTTGTAGCTTAGTCCCCTCCCCTCCCTTCTCCTTCCCCCACAAAAAGAGAAAAGCTCTCTTAAAAGAGAGATTGTGCTTGGGGGGCAGGGGAAGAAAATAAAAATAAAAGAAAAAGAAAAGTAAAAAGCATGTGGAGCTGTGACTCAGCTCGGTGGAGTCCTCAGCAGCCAGACACTCGTTTATCCTGGAGCAGTGTCACAGTCTCCTCCAAGACAGAACTTTGATAGATCTTGTTGTTGTTGATATTCTAAAGCACATATGTCTACTTTTAACCTGGAACTCTAACAACTAAGTTTACTCTTCAATTCAATATTCACAGGTTAACTGGAAAACTAACCAGTAAAATTAGTATTAGGTTCAGAAGTCAGTAATTCATTATTCACCTGAACTTCCTGTGGCAAAAGGGAGATGCACAAGATTTCTCACTATTTTTTTATTATGACACAGCCAAAGTTGAGGGTTTTTTTTGTAATAGTTGCTAGTGTTAATGCATTGTTTGAGAGTTGAAAAGCTGCATACTGTTTATGCTGGATACAAAGTTACGGCCTAGAAATTTCTTGATGAAGTTCCATCTTTGGAAAACTTACTGTACTTCCAGCAACTGTTCTGAAGGCACTGAAAGAGCCTGGGCAAATCCTCTACCCTTGCCTAAACCTGTACGCAAGGCCTGAACTAAAGGCAACTGGAACACTTCTTGTTTACACTATTTCAAGTGACCTCAATTCTCCCTAGACTATCACGGCTTTGCCTCTTAGTTTCAAATACAGCGTTGCCTTCAGTACATTAAAAAACAAAAATAACAAAGCCACTTCATGCTCTAAGCCTAGTAAATATATATGCCGATCTCAAGTAGCTGGATAATAATCAGGTTGATTGAAAGGCCTAGGTTTTTGATAGGCTCTCCTGTGATTCACATTAATAACCATGTACATTTTACTATTTTCCAGAATGCACTTACTTATAGCTTACATGGAAAATCCCCATAGTTATTAATTGCATTTGATGAATTCCATGTGTTTAAGCTGGGATACATAGATGGCATGTTCCATACATATTTTTTTAAATAATTAATATACTTAGCTTACATGTAGCCATGCAGAAAAAAATACTGCATTCAAACCCCAGGCTACTAATCCTTTCTAAAACTAAATTTCAAACTTGCCCTGTTCCGACAGGCTTTCTGCAAAGGGGCTGCTCCTACACACAAATGAGAGCTTTTCCTACACCAGACTAACCTGTTGCACAACACCTCGAAATTTTCGGCTTTGAAGTTGGAAGAAAAATTAAAAATGAACACTGAAAATGGTTCTGAATATGGGCCCACTGAATATGGGCTCACATCATGGGCAATTACTGAAGCAGGGGATACTCGTGAAAGCATAAAGGGACAGAAGTTTAAAAATATTAAGAAAAAGTGTTTTAAATTAAGCTTTCACTACATTATTAAACTCCAGTAAATTGGGGTTTGCTGCTACTGAGCAAACTTCATTACGAGTGGCAGCAGTCACCTGCAAAGAGTGATTGGAAAATATGAAAATAATTTAAATGCCAACACCAGCTTTGGAAACATTAAACCTCTGGAGAAAATACAGCAGAAATGAACTTGGTATGGCAATAAAACATACTTAAAAAACAAAAAGTCATCAACCTCATTAATCCCGTGTGCTACCATTTGCATGCAAGAATTCATAGTTAGGGTGCCTAAAAGCAAAATCCAGCTGAGAATGTGTACTCTGATTTATTTACACTCAATCACTTAGCTTCCTACAAACTATGTGGTAACAAGCTGTAGTGCAGGCAAACAGGAAACCTGGAGATGGAAGAAGCATTAAAAAAAAAATTACTGTGTCTGACACAATATTCTGTGGCTAAATGCCATTATCCAAGCCCTTGAAAAGGAAGAGTTGGAGCAGCTTAGAACAAGTACGACCACATGAATGTCCCAGCCACGAAGCGATTTCGGGTGTCTCCCTCCCCAGCTCCCTGATCTCCCACCTAGCCCGTGGTGTGGGGGTCTCTCTGACCTCGTGTAGAACAGCAGCATTTTGAGAATCTGGGGAAGTGTTTCCCTCGCAGGCCTCATTAGTCCCATGATGTCACTACTTCCTCTCTTGCAGACAGGATATGGGGAATTTAATCACACTTAAAAAATGAGTCTGGTTACCACCATATCCCAAATTTAATTTCAAATGTTCTGTTAAGGGAATGTATTACATAAAAAAGTCCTCCATGTCTGTGCTACTAGTGACTGCAAGAACAATTACAAACAAAACATTACCTGGCCAAATGACATCACGTAATTTGGACAACAGATGTGGCGATTTGTGAATCCTGTCACACGCAAGAGCCCAGGACACACGCAGGGTTGGGTGCAGCACTACCTCACGCGTACGCTGCTTGTCCTGCCGGGCTGTCTACATCTGTGCATCTCCTTGAACACCTTAACGTCACTGAGAAGGGAGCTGGGAGAAATGATTTCCTTCTCCAGAGCCCGGTATGGAAGACACTGAACTTATTTAATCTGATTCTCCACAGAAACCCTCTTCCCTTTCCCATCCCAAACCCTGGAGTCTACACATCTAAAAACAGTATTTCAGCCATTACACGTCACACCCAGCATTAGCAAACAGGTAACTGCCGAAACCGCACAGGGACAGTCAGTTTCTTTTTTAGGTAATCAGTTATTTGTCCTTGCTCTTTTGTATAATTTTCTAAACATGACAAAGGAAAATAAATAAAAAGTAATTGTAAATAGCACTATTTCCTAAGGTGTCTGAACCTTAGGAAGAAAAACACAAATGCTTTTAACTAGGAGGATATAGGCAATGTTGGCAGAAGTTTTCGGCAAGTGGGGTGTTTCTTTCTGGAGGTGCTAGCTTCTCCCCTAAACTACTATGAATACTTAATTTAACAATGAAGCTTGGACTTATGCAATTAAGTGCTTTATTCTTATTAATATTACACATGATAAGCAATCTTGCTTGGGTAACCACCTTTAGTTATCCTTTTGAAATATAACATTTAATTTCAAATATTATCAAAGCAATACCATACAACACAATGATATGGGGGTGCATATATTTAAATTAGTTGTATTAATTAAATTCTCTTTCCCATAAACAGTTTCAGTCAGCAGTATTCTTTAGTACAGAATTATAAAAGTCAAAAACTATGAACTATGAAAATGAACAATGTAGTTAGGAGACTGGATTCTATTCCCAGCAATGCCTAAGGCCTGTTGGCAACGCGAGGTAGGTTTGCCTCAGCCTCCAGACACGCAGAATTGAGATAATACAAAAAATGAATAGTTATGAAGGCCAGGAAGTCTATATGTGGAAAATGCTACATTAAGAACCAAATTTATTTCTTCAGACAAAAGATCAAATATGAATGACATTTCAGTTCAAGATCTGGCGAAAACGCTATCTTTGCCCTTTTTTAGGGGAGTATGTCTTTTAAAGGTTTACTTGCAGGACAGGAAAGAAATGCAGTTTCAAATCATTCTTTCTGTTTTTAATACATCAATTAAATCATTTTTAGGAAGCCTGAATACTTTTCTTTAAATTTAACTGTAGTTTTCTCAGTAAGAGAGCATTATCTGATTACAGCTTACTACTAGTAAAATTAAACAATACAGAACTAGAAAGCTGTGTTTGTTTAATACAGAACAAGCATTTCCTTTGAGACTTACCTTTCAGACTTACCTCTAAGTTTTCAGCAAGAGATTTGTGTAATCGGACATTTTTTTTTTTAGCTGACTGTTAAGATTATGGAAGCAATTTACATAGACAAGCTACTCACCCATCATTTCCTTCTTTAATTTTTCATTCCGCTCTTCAATTTGTTGAGGTAATCGCTGTAGGAAGCAAGAGGAAAAACTAGAATCAAATGGATGCATTTCAGCATTGCTGTGGGTTACTGGGGGTGACTTGCATATCCATATTCGGGATGCACTGTTCATGGCTTAAAAGCAGCCCTTATGTCAAACCACCCTTCCATTTGGGAAACCTATATTCACCCGATTACATCAGTTCGCCTAAATAGTAAACTATAATTTGTAAGTGGCAGTTTCACAAAGGCGTACATTTTCACTGCTGAAAAGCAAATCTGATCCATTTTCCTGGTATTTTAATTGACAATTTTATGGAATTTAAGAGACATGGTGGTAAAAATATCTCCTATGCTGCATGTGTTTAATTTGCTAAGAGAGACCGGATTGGAAAGGGAAGTCCAACAGTGCTTGAGCTCTGAGTAACAGTTCAGGAACATGCGTTTTGTCTTTTTCAGAACTTCAGAACTGGTACCAGTGTTAAGATCTGTTGTATCATCTCAAACAAAAAGCCTGAAAATGCTTCTAAGGAGCATTAAGTACCTGCATGGTCTGTGCACTCCTAATAATTACAGATTCGCATTGAAACCTAAAACAACTGTGACATCTTTACACAGTCACAGTGTTTGGCTAAATGAATGCTATGACCACTTTTAATTAGAATTTGACATTCACTATAACTAGAATTACCATTGCATCATTTAAATTATGTGGCAGTTTATTGTATATAATTTAAATACAGTACTGAAACAAAACATAGCATGTTTTGCTATGGATATCAGTCCTTTTTCATAGGCCTTTCAGAAGCGACTATTCCAAGCTTTTATACTGTGCTTATCACCATATAATCCTGCCATTTGAGGATGCAATTATAGTCATAACTACGCTCTCTTCTTGTGGAGGTCAGAGCAAATGAGACAGATCTGCTCTAATGGTGCTATCAGTAAATTAATTACAGCTGCTGACTGCAGTAACAGGTGTGGGATTCACTCTGCACACACTTCCTTTGTGATAATTGCCTTCTGAACACAGTTAAAGAACTCAATTTCCTGATCTTGTTCCTTCCTGTAATTTATAGCTCCAGTCATCATGCATGGGTTTGTCATTCTGATCATATTGCTGGAGTGAAATAAGATGTTCACCTCGAGAAAAAGCCCCTTGACAAGGCAGCCTGATTATTCTTTCTTACCAAGCAGTACACACTGGTGAAGACAGGCAAATGCAGCCCATTTTCTGCAGAGAAATTGTATACCCCAGAAAGCCAGACAAATGAATCCTGAGGAATATAATGCAGAGACACACGGCTGGCTAAGCTGAAACACGCGCGGGCGGGTGTGGCCACCAGCGAGCAGATGTGATTAGCCCAGCCAGGGCCCGGCTGCCTTGAGCCGGCCCAGCGGGGCTGGTGAGGCTGGGTGAGCCGGGGCCCGGGCCGGCCGCGCTCGGAGCGCTCTGGCACTGCCAGCAGCTTCTCTAGCAGGGAATGAAAATGCAAGGTCTGTAACGCGCGCTCCAGGGTTCATCCACCTGGCTGTTAATATTCCGAGGACTCACTGTTTCTCACCCCCGCCAAAATACTTGCAAGGTTAGATGTCTGAAGAAGGGAGTCCACAAGCACAGCTGCTTGTGGCCTGTTTATGAGACTGCTTTCAACGTGCAGCTTCTCTGGGCAATCAACACTGTGTGCCTGGCTTGCCAGCCCCTCAACACAACACTGCTACACCTGTGCTAAAAACAAATCCTCAAGTTTGATACCACATAATTAAACACTTTCCGGGAAAGCATCAATAGGGATTATTTGGCAACAAAACACTAATTTCAAACAGTTTAATCTGACATTGAATATGTCGAAAGTAATTAAAGTGTGTCTCACAGGGCTCCAGAGCCAAACACTAGTGCTGAACTCCTGAAATGCCAGCAGCACTGAAATTATGGAGCAGGCACACCAGAACCAAAGCAAGAAATACCATGTGGTGAAGACTTCCATTAAAAGTTGTTTAACACAATTACTATATGCAGTAAAACAGCATGCCAAATATTTTCTATATGTAGGAAGAAGAAAGATTGGTTCTAACAGATGAAGGTTATCATTTGCAAGTAGCTTTGATGCATCATTATCAGTGGTGAGGGTCAAAGTGCTGCACTATTTATGCGGAGACTGGACTTCAGATTAAAGTAGAGCAGAGCCTCAGTTCCCTGTGTATTACAGTTATATTAATTATATACATGGAATTAACATTACAGTAGCTTGTTTTCTACTGTGAAATATCATTATGTTTAGAAGCACGTAGAACTAGCTGTCTGTCAGCATTTTAGTACCAAATCTTCAGGAAGAGTTTTAAACTCCAGTTCCAAAAGACTGCCTCTCCCCTGCAACTTGACACAGAACAGGAGCAACTCGGAGCAGAATGCCCTGAATCCCTTTGAGGTGTAAATTGAGGGCGTTTGGTACAATGTGTTCTGCACCACATGTCAGCCTAACATCTCTGCCTAATAAAATGAGGCCAAGGAGCAGGAGGTAGATGTAACAGTCAACCTCTGTACTACCCACCTACAAAAAAAAAGAAAAAAAAGGAACAAATTACTGATCATTGTGAAACATTCTTGAAAGGTGGCCAGGAAGAACATTCTCTTCTAGCACAAATCTCCCCTGGTTCCTGAGCAGGGCTTATTTGTGAAATTCTTAAAGACATGAGGCAGATGCACCAAAGGAACATCATGGTGTTGCAAGAGGTACGAAGGACCCGTTATCTATAGCTATAGAGATTTCCAGCCAGTCAAAACATACTTCAAACCCCTTACATTTCACCCCAGCTACAGACACTGCTCTTGATCCGTGGAGTTGATGGTTGGTGGTTCATGACAACCTATCTGGTCTTTATGGCTTTTTTTGTATGAAGAGCTGCTAAAACGTGCTAAGAACACGCATCCCTTTTACACTAGTATTATTTTACCAAGTCACTGACAAGATTATGCTAGAACCAGAAAGAAGCCTAAGGTAACGTTAAGAGACTACAGAATACTCTGGAAGCCGGAAACACGAAACCCCAGGACTTTACACGTCAGCTGGCTCCCAGGTTGAATCGCTGCATCAGTTAAGCGAGAGGCTCAGCTGGAGGACTGAACGAGGCCAACACACAGGCTCTTTCCCAGGCTAAGACAGACCCATCGCACTCACCACCCGTGTGGTAACGACGTTTGACAAGCCTGTCATCTCCTAGGCCATCGCCAAGAGCTGGGTGCTCAGTGCCTCCCTGCCCACGTCCACACGCACGAAACGAGCAGCAGGGGCTGATTCACAGTGCAGCAAACTGACCTTCTCACGGGCTGCTGCCCCAGGCCCTGCACTGCCTTGACCGCACGTCCTCCTGGCCCTTGCGCTGGCCTTGCCTTGATGCCAGGAAGCCAAAGCCACGGGAAGCGATTCCCTTTGAGGCTTTTTGGCTGCTGGCTGCTCTTCCTTTAGGCAGAGTGAGTCTGCCCGAGTGACACAGAGGACCAGGCCGCAGGGCTGGCCAAGGGGCAGCACCAGGACACAAGTGCTGGCGGCGGCGGGCTCATCGCGCAGCTGCTTTGTGAAGCCTCTCCTGTAGCACGAGCAGTGCTAATGGGAGCCACACGCTCACGCAGGACACTGCTCTGCATCACTGTAACTGCTCCCGGCCCAAAGGAAATTGCAGGAAAGGCTCCTTGTCTAACTTGATATAACCAGCTTCTGGGCTGACACCTACAGCACTCTGTTATTGGGATGGGAGTCCAAACTAATGGCTTACTTCCTGCAGTGGAGAACTAAAACAACTAAAGCCAAGGCTTGCAAACAGATCTTCTTTCTTCCTTTATTCCATGGTGCAGAATCTGTTGCAGCTTCACTGATGGGAAGGTAAATCTCAAGTAATTGGGCCCTTTGGGGAGGGGAGAGGGGGGCGGAAATCCACCACCAAACACCATATGGACCCAGGTGATAAGCTAAGCATTGTTTTAAAATTATATCCATTTACCTTAAACAAGAAAGGAACTGTCTTTACTTCCATTTTCCCCTGCAGAAGATGAGCAGCTCTTTCCAGGCTCTTGTTAAGCCTTTCACCCACCAAAACCTGACGCTCCCACCTCTGCAAGTGACCACCGTTGTATTCTTCATAACAGTTACCGTTCATTAACATAGGTTCCTTCAAAACCAAGCCCTACCTTTACCCTATTTATCCTTCAACATGCCCTTATAACCTGTTTCCAAAAATAAAAATGGCAAGCAGCCTTTAAGAGGAGCTTTCTGTACAAAAGTACAGAAGTACTCGCTACCCACCACCCCTTGCCCTGCAAAAATACCCACTGAACTTGTCAAAAACACCAGTACTTTTCACATTAAGTATTAACCTCCTAAATGCCTCTAGAAAAAAAAAACTCATTTCCTGCTAGTATTTTACACAAAGAGTTCCTTAAAACCTCAAATCAACAGGCACTGGGAGTGACTTTAAATCCCCATTGAGTAGGGATTTACATGCTAGACTGGGGTTTCAGGACCTCTTTATCTTTGTTCATCCAAGTCACCCTGTCCAAAAACCCAAGGACACTCTGAAAGCATTTTCTTACACTTGTGGAGATAGGAAAAAGGTACCTCAAGACACCTTTAATCCTGAAGCATTTGTAATGTTGATCGAAAGTGGACTTTGGAACACAGTATTAAGCTGCAAAACTCATTTTGTTTGGTAGTGAAGAAAGCTGAATCAGGTCACACTGTGGTGCTGTTTGTACCACAAGGTGCCATTTTATTCATGTGAGAGACTAAGTTCTTAAAGATATAAGTGAGTGGTATTAAGGCAGCTCAAAGCTGCCAATGCACACTGAAGGCATAGCAAAATGTCAAGAGAAAACAGTCAAATGGAGAAAACAAACAAAAAAATTCAGCAAGCTTTTGAAGCAGACTTTCAGATAATTCAAATGTAGCTCTAGCTCCCAGCTTTGATAGAAACCTGTCTCTGCCATCCTCAGTGTTGTATAATTAACTCAATAGAAAAGTAATTATTTTAAAATCATGCCATAAAGCCATTGGATTCCACGTTTGCCAATGAGGATACTGAGGGACAGACTAACCAATTACATAGCTAGCAAAAACTGTATTATTAAGTACCCATATTCTGATCTCCAAATTGCAGATCCTCCTTGAAGTGATGGATGCTAAAATGCAGCCGTGGTTTAAAATCAGGCAAGGGCTGAAAACAGCCAATATTTCAGTTTCTGGCTTACATTACATTTCTAGCACAGGCACTGATACAAATACCAGGAGAATCAAAGTCTAAGATTTATTAGAGGTTTATCAGCATGTTGTTTAACAGACCATGTTTGAAAGGAATTCAATTATTTAAAGAGATTACTGTATTGAAAAGGTTCCATATATTCTCAGGGAGAATCAAATTAGAACTGCAGCTGGATGGTTGGGAAGGGCTTTTTAACAACTGAAGTTGTATTTTTATGTTAACAGCTCAGAATAGCCTTTTTACTTTCACACACGCTTTAGGAAGGTTAAAAAAAGAACTAAGTGTTACAGACCTCAAAATGATCGTGGAAGTTGCAACAGTTCATATAATCTTCCTTATATAAAACCAGGAGAGAAAACCCGTACACTTTTTGACTTTGGCTAAAGTTATCCCCACTCCCTGTGAAGCAGCATAAACAGGATAAATGGCACTCAACCCTCAGATAAGGAAAGAAAAGGGCCTTGTCTTACAGTTAGCCCAAAGTGTGTGGAAATGCCTTACCATGCAAGCTTCTCTGGCCTGATGAACTGATGGATCTTTTTCTAAGATTGTTTTGTAATCTTCCAGGGCTTCATCTAGTTTTTCTGTTTTTTCATATAGTTCTGCTCTCCGAAGCAAAGCTCTAATATAGTTAGGGTCTAGGTCCACTGCTATAAAACAAAAGCAAAGCACAATATTTTATTTGAAACATTTCTACATCCCACTACACAACAGTGCATATTAAATTCTTGATGTTAGGAATTATCATCTCTGTAACATAGCTTGGAATGAAGCAAAACAGCAGTTTAAAAACTAAGATATAACTCAAAGGCATATCTTGTCCCTGCATATTTAAGTCTAAAGCAAATGATCCAGTTTGAGTTAATACCTACAATCTAATTTAATATCTATAATCTACATATAAGATGATTTACAATGCGCAAAAGTGTTTAATTTTGCAATAAAATATATGCAGATGTAGAAGCAAGGCTTCGGAAATTTGCAGGACAAGATATATTTTGCTACTTTTTGTATTTATAGTAGGGATATATTATTAACTATAGAGATTTATATATAAATCTAAAGGAAGATGTAGCAGGGAAAGTAAGCACTTCTCTGGTCATCTCAGAGCAAACTGAGGCAAACTCCAGGAAATCTACTGCTGTTCTTCTGAATTTACTGTAATATCAAACAGTCAAAATCGGGTTGGGAATCCATAAATGGTTGCATTAGCTCTATGAGCTCGCAGAGTCTCACACTGATTGAATTTAAGCTTATCCTCTCCTTATTCCCTTGGCAGGCAAGACCATGTTTACTGGTGCAAGACCGAATGCTAAATTTAACAGGAACTTGCTAACGGTAATTTCTCAAGAATTTCTTCATTCGGTTTTCATCATAGAAAGAGACAGTATGAAAGTCGGCCCATTTTATAACGGCTAAGCCATTAAAATTGTTCTCAGGACAATTAAATCCCAGATTCTCCAGCTAACATTCTAGCTTATTTCTTCGGGAAGGACAAAGACAATGCTACAGTCAGCAAATTGCAGGTTAGTGTGAATTGCTCTGCTGTGCTCTTAAGTGTTGCATTGCAGCTTGTAAGCCAAGTCCCTGGGGAGTGTCAAGTGATGGCTGGCTTAAGGCTCAGCGCTGGAAAGCGGACTGATTTCCTTTCAGCTACTATAAAATTAACAGATTTTTTTTTTCCCAAAATGCACCACCACCAAAGCAGGGCATAACCCAAATGACAGAGGTCAGTTAAAATTTGCTACCTTCGAGAATACTTTTAGCATATACAAACTCATATTTACTGTACAAGCAGGACTGGCACTCTGCCATTGGATTCGTTTTCTGATTGGTAAATTAGACTTTTTCCCAGCTGCCATGGGGAGTTTAACAAATATTCCAAGGATGAGTGAGTGGGTGGAAGCAATAAAGCACTGCACGGCTGAAATGATTTCACCAGGCATTGCAAAGATGAAACAAAGCAGGACAAGAACTGGAAGGTGTAAGTCCTTGTGCCAAAGCCAAAGCCTTGCATAAAAGGGACTTGATGATGCCTTTAATTCTGTGAAGTCACACAATTCTTTGGAAACTGGAATTAAACCCAAGACTAGGCAGGGGGAAATGGCAGGTAGAAGAGAGTTTAAAATAACAGGTGTAAGGAAAAATGCTCCATTAAAAGAAAAAAAGACTCTCTTGTTTAAAAAAAAAAAAAAAGGCAAAAACCAACAAACAAACAAAAAACCACAGGAGTTTTCTTGGTACAAGAAAACAGAAAATAATTTATTTCAGACAGTAAAAGCTTGATAGACATTTTTCCAAAAGAGTAAATCCTGGGCACAGGTCTCTCACTACAACTTCCCTACAAACTGCAAAAAGGCACTTAATTTTATTTATGTGTGAAAGATCTGGCACAGGAGTAGGACACAGTAGAAAAGTCCTACCTTTGCTGCAGTCACTTAGGGCAGCTTCCGTCTTGTCCTAGAACACAAAATAAGCTTTAAGTTGTATTTCTTGAGAAACAAATTATTTGCTGCTGCAAACAAAAAGGTTCATCAGACATTCCGGGAAACTCGGGTGTTCACCTAACGAGGGCTTTTCATGGCCCTGCCGGTGACGCAGGGCTCGTGGGCAGCGCGTCCCTGCTCCCCGCGCAGGGTGGCACCCGCCAGGCGCCCAGCCGCCCTCCAGAGCCTCAGCCTCACTGCAGGGCTGGGCCTAGCGCAGCTACAGCCTTCCTGCCTTCCTCAGGGAATTAAGGGGTTGGAATGGCTGGTTCCCAAGACTCCTGGGTGAATTCTTGTCTGTATGAGATAAGACATTTTGGAAGCAGATACTGCCTTTAGCACCGATACTGCTTTCTCTGCGAGGGCCAATGCAAGAGACTTCCTGAAGTGGCAGGGATTAAATTTTTGAGCACCCAGACAATGAAGATGAAACTCAGGCAATCTGTTTATAATGGGGAAAAAAAAGGCAGAAGAGCCAAGATACGTATTGCAACAGAGGAATTCTGAACAGCTGCTACAACTGAAAGTTTCAGTTTCATATTTCTCCTTGGTAAAACTAAGTGTACTAGCATTTCTGCTGGGAACATGAGAGATCAAGCAAACAGCAAAACCTACAAATAGCTTAATTCATTTGCCATCATTTACACTTCACTAGATTTGATTTTATGATTGCATTTGTCATATAATCAATCTATGGTGTCTGATAAAATAAAAGAACATTCACCTGTTTCATTTTTGCTGCAGCTCTGTTTGAAAACAAAACAGCCCTATCTTTTTGGAAGCAGGCTGGACAAATCTGCAGAGCCCTCGTGTAAGAGTCTTCTGCCTCTCCATAGTCTGTGGATGCAATAAGAAAAAATAAAGCAGACCATTCATTTCAACTGGCAGTAGAATCAATGAATCACATGGCTGAGACTTCTTTGGAAACATTTCCCCATATAGGATGCAGTATTAAACCAGGTAAGACTCACTAGCTGTTCTCAGAAGTGCACTGCTGATCAGTACATATACCAGTAAGAGTTAATTGTTTTAAAATCAACACCCTTGTAATAGCAGAAATGCAATCCTGAGTTTAGTGTACCAAGGGCAGCACGCTTTGCATATAATTCTATCCATTTTATTCATCTGAGGATTTTTTTTTTTCAGAAGAATCATATTTAGGTCTGAAAGAAATCATGTACAGTAACATGCTACTGCACTATTATTATACCTGCCCACAGCTGCTAGGGAGATATTTTATTTGTCACAGTATCTTCAATGACTTAATGACTGATGACCTTAGCGAGACAGAGGCTTTGAAGTGATTGACCATTATCAGGCCTGGCCTAAAACAAGGCCTGCTGATAAACCACAAGGGATTATCAAGTTACTTGTTTTCTAATGAAGGTAGAGCCAAAGAATGAAAGGCCCTACACAGACTCTGAGCAAGCTCTGCCAGCTGACAAGTGCATTCTCCTCAAAACACAGTAATTCTTCCTGCACGCATCAGCTAATGACCATCAGGTGCTTCAAAGAGTCTGTTTTGTTCTGATTAGGTGCACTTCAGCAGGCACCAGCAGTCAGGCACACTGAAGAGATCTCCAAAGCACTGGGCAGGCAGAGGCTGTGGATGAGATTCCACAAAGTGCCTAGGCCACCACTGCAGGTTTGCTGCCCTCATAAGCTCCCAGCAGGTCCTTTCTGCCTCCTCTGACGCTTGCCTGAATTGATAAGCTGCTTAAAAACACCCCAAACCTGGGTGGACCATATTCTGTTGTACAACTGATAGAGCAGGCTAAAGGGAGGAGGCAGAACTCCACCACCAGAAGGAAGAACTGCCCCTCTCATCTAAATCATGCTGAGCTTCATTCACTGAATGAACCAACTTAACCGGGTGATGATGGAGAAAATATTCCTTTTGTGTGTTGCAGCTTTTCTGCCAGATTTGACAGCTGACTTCATTTACTTCATTACTGCATATAACACAGCAAAGGCAGGAGTTATGTGGGAAGTGCACAGAGAAATAAGGTCATACATCTGTACTAATAACTAAAACAAAGTATGTAAGGAAAGGAAGGAACACGTGTTATTAATTTTGTGTCAGAATAAAAAATAGGCAGCACAACAGGCATTTGAGGCTATGACAGAATTAAGATGCTTCTAATATAACATTAGAAGTTAGTTTAGAAAGCAAGTTACGATTTAATTATTCACAGATTTTTACTTCCATGGAGTCGTTAATATACTTCCTGTAACAGTGCCTGCCCTTGCAGGGCTATACAAATGATGTTTTGGTATCTGCTACAAGGATAGAAACATTTAGTGACTTTTGAACAAGTACCTAAATGTACTATACAGTATTTGGCAGATTTAAATACCACATTTTTCAGCGACCTGAACACAGTATTATTTAAGGCAATGGTAGTAAGCTCTGAAGAGACATCAGACTTTTAACATAAAATTGACACCACACAAAATGCAATGATTGTAAAATAACTTAAAGTTCACAAAACAAGTACCCTTCCTTGTCAAGGCCAAAGGAGGAGGAAAAAAAAAGATAAAATAGTTCTTTCCAACAGGAAGGCCAGTCTCCAGATCAAGGTGTACTTCTGGGAAGTGGAAGTTGGCTGTTTTTAGGCTTACTGCCTGGGGGTGGAGGGGAGGGCATGAATCCAAGTTTCTAAGCCATGTGCATTGAAGAACTCAGAGCCTAGGAAATGCCTGTTTAGTAAAAGAAATCCTAGCACTCAGTGGGCCGTCAATTCTATATCATGTTTTTAGATTTAAACATTTAGCTTTCATGAGAATCCTGCTTTTGCAGCCCAACTCTTTGTTGATCTAAACTTAACTCTTTAGGCAGGCTGCTATCTCCTTTTGTTCCCAAGAGCTGGATGGAAATAGAGATGATAAAAGAAAGATCTTCCTATGGAGGACTAAGTGTTAACTCAAAGTTTACCTTGCTCAGCTATGTGAAATTAGAAGATTATCAACCCACCTCCTTTCTTGAATTGCTCATTTCCTTTCTCCTTCAGGGTTGTGCTCTCCTGTCTTCTCGTCTGCAAGAGGAAAGACAATGTCTCAAAGTATTTAACTGAAATGAACAAGTAGGTCAGTTGCAGTTCTGAATAAACTATGGATGGAAATCAGAATAAACTATAACCAGAAAAAATTAACTAGTACCACCATCACTTGCTTGCGGTCACTCTGACATGATATTCCTTGCAGATTTATGAAGCACTAGATGATACTAGCAAAACATTGAAGCTCCACTTCATGGAAAAAGTAGGCTCAAAGAATATTCATAGTGAATTACATGGCTTTAACTTTGCTACCTTTTAAATTTGCAGGTGCAATTTATTTCCTTCCTAACTACATTTATATCAACCAGCGCATATCAACTACATAGAAGGTATTTTAGATGTTTACATCAATGTTGTGTCAGAAGTCCACCTCGGAAGTTTATAGAAGAACTATTCAGAGACAGAGGGAAGAATGATGTGCTTACTGCATCCACAGGTAATATCACTGGAAAGATTTCTAACGTAAAGAGTGACTGGTACATAGAGGACCTCCCCTGCCCCCAACACACACACGGTTGTCCAGTCTTGAACGACTGGAAGTTGAAAGCCCAAACCTGTATTTCTCCTTGTTAGCAGGCTCATTTTCCTCCTTGCTGTAACACTTAGTATTGCTCTTTGGCAACTAAAGCATCAAACCCAGGGGCAGGAAGATTGTTCTATTAGTGAAAATTGCACACACCGAGCAAGGGTGTCTTTTCGAGCATGAACAGCACACTACTCTTAGCACAAGCTAAGTTGACATGAATGATCTCAGCCTTTGACACTGAAAATACAGGATGTCATCAAGCCATCCCTTAATCTACAAAGTAAGTCTTTTGCATGCAGATATACCTCAAACAAAACCAAAGCCCTACAGGTAAGACAGCATCAGCAAGAAGCAACAGTTGTGCCCCTGAATCATTTCTATTGCAGAAAATGACCACTTGACCACTCATTCTGTCCCCAACACATGCGTGCACAAAGAACTTAAAATCAAGGTGTCCAAGATGCACACCACTGAGCAATTAAAAAGCCTACAGTATGAAAAGGAGCAGTTTCATTTCCTGCAGATTGTGTAAATCAGGGATTAATGCAATTATCAATATCGCACAGAACATCTCCTTGGAAACAGCTAAATATAGTTCTCTTTGTAGAGCACTGCACCATCTCGCAGCTATGCCAAGTAGCTGACAAACAATACAAAAATCAGACGTTCTCTCCACTTGCTCTTACTGGTTTTGGAAAGTAATTCCAAGCACCATCTTAGAAATAAGAAACCACAGTTTACTGAAAACTAAGGTAAGGGAATGGTATTCAGTTGTCACACACAAAACCACTCAGGAAAATCCCACGTGACCCTTTCGCAATGTGCTTTTTAAAAAACAACAAATATATTCTGGACAACACACGCACCAGCATTTAGCAAATGGCTTCAGGGTGGCCTGAAAAAATATCACAAATTCTTCAACAACTTGCTCCAGTGTCCATCAGCCTGGTAGTGCTGTCTAACTACGAGCACACAAAACAGTTTGAACACTTAAGAGACAAACTATATTAAAAACACATTTTTTTTTTTGCATATATGGGTCACTTAGCAGCTCAGTACAATACACACTCAGTATGTGACTACATTTGAAAGCTACAACCAAACTTTGAACTGGGTCACTGCCTTAAATACTCCACGGGGAAAAAAGAAAAAAAAATCAAAATATCTTTAATGCAAAGAGAATGAAAGCACAACAGAAGTCAGTCTCATACTAGTAAACAAAGTCAGATTCCAACACAGAACAGGTTTGAGAGATGATGATTCTCCAGGAAAACATGAAAGATCCACACAGACAACCCTCACAACATAGCAGGGCCTGTAACACTACCTCTGACTTCATTGCTCATGACCTATTTAGAATCGGCCTTTAAGTGCCATTAACCGATTCACTGTTGCATAAGGTACAGTTGTGTACAAAATACATACAATAAAAAAAGAAACGATTGTTTCTCTATGAAGTGAGAACTATGGCACAGTAGCAGTGTTCCTGACAAAGAAACCATAAAAACCAAGGAACACTGGACAAAAAGCTTCACCTGGATGATCATTTGGTTTCACTCTATTAATAATATCCCAAGACATTATACGCTTACCCCATTTGAGCATTCATTACTAATATGAAAACACTTTTGAAGTGAGAATGCTTAAGGAGAATAAGTTTTACATTTAAAAAAATGGCATAAAAGAATAAAATAACATCAAGTGTCCTCAGATACCCAAAGCAGTGGCTAGAGAGGCAACTGCCATTGGGCCGCAGTTATCGTGACCCCGCAGGGAGAGGGAAGTTCTGAGCAATTGGGGGTTCAGGGGCTGCTGCAGGGGGAGGCCGGTGTTTCACGGAGCTCTGCTCCCCTCCAGGTTGCTCTGCCATGTGCCCTCTTGCCTGGAGCTCAGCTTCACAGCCTGGGAGAGGGGAGCACTGTTACTCACATCCCTGTTGAAGACACGTGGATGTCAGAACAGTCCCACTGTCATTTCTGACTCTTTGACCAGAAAAGGCGCTGCCTCAGCACGTTTCAGAAGCCAGTGCACTGTTAAGTGGACCTTATGTGACTTTGCAGCTTGCTCAACTCTTTGGAAAACAGTTATTCAGGCAATGCTGTTTGGGCTCTGCACTAGCTTGACCAACATGGTCAAGACACCCATGTATTATGGGGGTTGGGCTGTCCCTTAACATCGGGACTGGTGCAGTCCTGGCAGCACTTTCCAAACAGATGAACCTCACGACGCCCCACACGCATCGCTCTGGTTGTGCATCTGAAGGATCATGCATTAGCAATGCAGAGCAGCAGCTACCCCCGAAGGCAAATGCCCTGGCTGTCCCACAGATCAGCAAAGCCAGAAGTTCATGTCCTGATTGTGCTGGCCTCTAAAGCCCATCAGGTATATGTGATATACATGCATAATTTATTCTTGCATATATGTGCATTTCTCTAATAGAGAAATCCCAATTTAAAAAAAAGACAATACAAGGTAAGTCAACTATTTTGGACTAATTTACATTTATTCTGAAAGGATTGCTGGAGCACATGCTGCAACCACACAGTGTCACAGTTAGATTCAGTTTTCTATTCCAATTAAGGGTTAAACAGAATAAAGCTCCGTTAGAAGACATAATGTCCTTACCCAGTATGCTGCACTTCCAGCTTAGATGGCCAACTGCAAATTGACTGGTCATCAGTTTACTGTGATTGTATCAGCCAAGAGTGAGAAAATCACAAGTGACTTGTCCTTGGGACAAATTTTGCACAATGTCATTTCAGTGCCTCCACCCGCTCGTTCTTCAGAAAAAGATCTAAGTAGCTGCAGGGCATGCTACTCATTCTGCAGTCAGGGAAGTAGGTCAGACTGAACTCCTAGAATGCTTTGCCTAAGGAAAAAATATCTTGACCCACTATGTTCCCTCAGGCCGTTCATATATGAGCACTGGGTCATCATCTGCCCAGCTCACACTGCATAATGTTTTTTGCTGTCCAAAATAAGCAAAATCTAAAGTTTTTTCTTTTTTTTTTTTTTTTTTTTGGAAAGCTTCTTAATATGAAAATGGCAAATTCCAAGTGATAGGCATTTGCTTTTAATTATATTTAACTGGCATTATGATTCTTAAAGAAAACATCTGATTAGAAAGGTTTACAGATTTGGATATTAAGATACAATCACCATATTCTAAAGAAATTAGGATCTTAACATAAACCTGTCTGGCATGAAAGAGGTGCTGAAGATTAAGGAGTGATGTGAGGTGATGAAAAAAGACAGCTTAGCCTTCTATCAGTAAAGTAAAACAACTCAAAAAGACCATGAAATGCAGTCGTTGACCTCTGCTTCTCTGCCAAAAAGCTCAAGGTTAAAAATAAAAGCATTAAAATTAGGTTAGCTCAACTACTAGAGAAGAAAGCAATCTATATGTTTTAACTGCCCTTTTTTGCAATATAATAAAAGTACCTATGTGAAATCCTTAAACATAGATGGCAGGAGCTGGAAGACAAACACTGTCATAGCTTGCAGTGCTCCCAAAGCTTCTTCTGGCTGTTCCTATACATTTTATTTGATCAACTCATTTAACTTTGCTGGAGAACTCTTCTTGGCTCCAGCTTTGTCAAGAGAAGAAAACATGTTCTCTTCTTTCCAAGGCTATCTGCACAGTACAGCAATGCATAGCTGCATTTTATATACCCTTTTGTAAGATCACAGAGCAGTCACTCAAACCTTCAGAGGTTCTAAATGTACACAGAAGCAAGGAATTTAAGCAGGAAAGGAGTATATTTTCCAGCTTCAAATACCAATTCTGTTCGTAAGACATCAATTAGCAGTTGTCTGCTTCCCCCTGCAGTTTTGTGAAGCTATTGCTGTATCAGGCATCCAACGATCTGAACTTCAATTTAAGGTTGCAGACGCTCAAACATCCTTGTAAAACTGGCTCGAGTTGTCGCTTCAGAACTGTGCCAAATCCAGCCTCTACACTCACGATGTTGAGTAATGAGCAGTGCAACACTCTGGAGACTTCTGGCTCCCAGTAAAGATGCATTAACCTATCCCTTGCCAAACACTACCTTTTCCTGAATTTTTAAGCAGTACTTTCAGAGCTAACAGGTCATATGCACTCCAGAAAGTCAGTTTAAGTTAACATGCCAGACTGAAGACTTGACCGTTCCTGACTGACAATATAAGTCATTTGCCCATTCCTGCCCAACGTGCGATGGCCTCAGGCAGGGAAGCGGGGCTGACCACTTAATCTATCACCACAGGAGTCAAAACCTCTAGTCAGAGATAAGCTCTGAGATTTGTAAAACAAAGATATCAATTTGACAGCAGCAGTCTCTTCCAAAGAGATATAAAATTCAATATAGGCCTAAAATCAAATAGCAGCACTGAAAGAAAAATGAATAGTTTATGACTTCCTGGAAAAGTGTCATTCAACAAAATAAGTATTTCTTTTCAGTTTATAAATAAA